TCTACCCTGCTCTCGAATTCAAGTGAATAATTATACCAGTCTAAGATTTCCTGCTGACCAGACTTTATTGCTGTATCAAATAGATAGAACAAGTGTTGGGTAGAACCCGAAATCATATTCTCTGATCCATTGCAAGAGGAATTAGTATTAGTAGAGCTGATATTGTCATCACTGGATATGGGTGAACAGGTGTCAAAGGTACCACACAGCTCTTGTATTAGACCTGTTCTATGATTTTATTTTTATCTAGCGATTCCTGCTCATCATCTTGCTCTATGGATACTTCGAGATCTGGCTTAACTGAAGACATATAACTCTGATCGTTCCCTGAGGAAACGGTTTTTTTGAACTCTTCTGAAATTTCTAAACTCATCCGATACGCATTCTCATATGAATTTTCAGAATACCTGTTAACTACTTTTATATCGTGTGTCACTTTCGAATTCACTGTGAAAATTTCTTCCTGAGGGGTATCTGCAATGACCAATTGAGGAGCAACCACCACAGTTTCTGATACATAAGCAGTATCAGAGATGCTGTCCTGGTTAGCTGATTTACGTAAAAATTTCTTCTCCTTATTGTGTTGCTTTATTTCACTACTAACGATTTTCTTATGAGCCTCGAGCAAGGAACTATCCATCTCTTTCTCTTCTAATAGTTTGCCGTTAAGGTGCTTCGCAGAGTTGATAAGTACCGTTATCGCCTCTGGTACTGCAACTGAATTGAAGCTAGGTGAACTGTTGTTAGAGGAATTATCATTTGCCATTAAGGCGCTTTGCAGAGTCTGCTTCTGTTTCACTTTCGTGATTCTATCTCCAAAGTCAGATTCCATCTCCTCGATTCTAGCCCTGAGTTTGGCATTTTTAGCATCACGCCTCTTATTATATTTCGCATTCGATCTTAGATCTCCGCATTTCTACGCTTAAGTTTAGCTATTTCAGCATCAGACACTGAGAGCTTGAATCTAAGATCGCGGATCTCAGTATTCTCCTTCTTAAGCTCTGCATTCTCAACCTTAAGCTTGTCGTTCTTAACCTCAAGTTCAATGATGCGCTGTTTTAATGATTCAAGCTCGGATGACATGATCTATATATAACTAATACAATGTACATAAGCATTCAAAATAAAAAATATATC